TGTAATTTAGATAGTTAAACACTACATAAACATCTGTAATTTAGATGGTTTGATACTACATAAACATTTGTTATTAAGATGGTTTGATACTAGATAAACATCTGTAATTTAGATGGTTAAATACCACATCAACATCTGTAATTTAGATGTTTAGATACTACATAAACATCTGTAATTTAGATGGTTAAATACTGTATAAACTTCTGTAATTTAGATGGTTAAATACTGTATAAACATCTGTGATTTAGATGGTTAAATACTAAATAAACATCTGTTATTTAGATGTTAAGATTCTAAATAATCGTCTGTTATTTAGATGTTTAAATACTACATAAAAATTTGTACTTTAGATGGTTTAATACTACATAAACATCTGTAATTTAGATGTTTAAATACTACATAATCATCTGTAATTTAGATGGTTTAATACTACATAAACATCTATAATTTAGATTTTTAAATACTACATAAACATTTGTAAGTTAGATTGTTTAATACTTCCTAAACATCTGTAATTTAGATTGTTTAATCCCACATAAACATATGTAATTTTGATGTTTAGATACTGCATAAACATCTGTAATTAAGATGATTAGATACTGCATAAACATCTGTAATTTAGATGATTAGATACTAGATACACAGATGTAATTAAGATGTTTAGATACTTCATAAACACATGTAATTTAGATGTTTAGATACTACATAAACATCTGTAATTTAGATGGTTAGATACTGTATAAACATCTGTAATTTAGATGGTTAGATACTGTATAAACATCTGTAATTTAGATGGTTAAATACCACATAAACATCTGTAATTTAGATGTTTAGATACTACATAAACATATGTAATTTAGATAGTTAAATACCACATCAACATCTGTAATTTAGATGGGTAAATACTACATAATAAACATCTGTAATTTAGATGGTTAGATACTGTATAAACATCTGTAACTTAGATGGTTAAATACTACATAAACATCTGTAATTTAGATGGTTTAATACCACATCAACATCTGTAATTTAGATGTTTAGATACTACATAAACATATGTAGTATCTAACCATCTAAATTACAGATGTTTATACTGTATAAACATCTTTAACTTAGATGGTTAGATACTGTATAAACATCTGTGACTTAGATGGTTAAATACTACATAAACGTCTGTAATTTAGATGAAGAGGCACTACATAGACGTCTGTAATTTGGATTGGTTGATACTAGATAAACATCTGTAATTTAGATAGTTAAACACTACATAAACATCTGAAATTTAGATGGTTTGATACTACATGAACATTTGTTATTAAGATGGTTTGATACTAGATAAACGTCTGTAATTTAGATGAAGAGGTACTACATAGACGTCTGTAATTTAGATTGGTTGATACTAGATAAACATCTGTACTTTATATATCTAATTACTACATATACATGTTCATCTGTACTACAAATGTTTAGCTACTACATCATTTGTTTTACAATGTTTAAATATTCACAAAACACTTTCTGGTTTAGTTTTGCAAAGCATATGATAAAATTATTTCAAACCAATCAAAATGAATGACACCTGACTGTTCTGTAATATTTCGATCTTGTGTTGACAGTAAAGTAACATGACGTGCCTGTGCCGACACCGTACAACAGGATCATGACGTCAAGGCTTGGTGAGAATGTAGACAGGAACAATCCGATACTGGAGACAATGCCCCCGACAATAACCACTCTCCGACAGCCTAGTCTGTCCATCAAGGCTCCCGACACCAAACCTGAAAGTATCATATCTATATCAGTTAACTACCGAGTTATCTTATTTATCGATACATAAAACAACAAAAACGTCCACTTACTCACATACATTGTTATGACTTAACCATCATCATCATCATCATCATCATCATCATCATCATCATCATCATCATCATCATCATCATCATCATCATCATTCAATCAATCGATCGATCGATCAATCACCCTTCACCAGTCAACATCATGGATAAGTGGTTTCTATCATTCTTAATTCATCATCATATTACACGATTACAAAGCATATCAGATCATCATCATCATAATCATCATCACATGATTACACATCATTATCATCATGTATCGTTCTTTATATATACAACAATCCTCATATCATTACACTTCATCATCATTAACAACCGAGTTTTCTGGATAATAAGCCTTATTTCGACATTAAAGAGCAAGCTTAATTATATAATTATAGCGCACAGAACGTCTCTAACAAACAAATGATAGACCAGCCCCTCTAGAAGTCGATATAAGAAAATATAGCTCCACCTGGGCGGAGGGAACACACAGATGGAGCCGTATGGTGTAAAAGCAGAAAGCATTCCCAACTCGATGCTGAGAGACGATGACAAAATTGTAATATTTGCCCATGTCTGCTTAAATAACCAACCGAGAAATACTGTTCTCTTACCCTGGACAGGGATATCTACCATTTTACCGGTGTGAGATTTTCTTATCTCACCCTAGGGTTGAGACAAGCTACACGTGTTCTTTGCACGTTCTCAACAATTGTATGACGTCATAGCAACAATACCATGACGTATGTATTTTATGCAGACGTAACAATGACGTCACGTCGACAATTCAGCCGCATCACATCAACATTGTCTTGAATTGATGTAACGTCTGCATAAAATACATAAGAGGGTAAACAGAGTAAGAGAAAAATAATCATTCACCTCCTTGGGAGTGAGACAGAGTGATCTCAACCCTCGGCACGCCTCGTGTTTGACAACTTAAGAATCTTACCCCTCGGGTTGAGATTACCCTGTCTCACCCCCAAGGGGGTGAAAGATTCTATTAACCTCTGAATCTCTTGTTTTATTTTATATCAATCACTCTTATTTGCCCTGACGAAAGCGCGCGCAGGGGGTCGTAATGAGGTAAAAACCGAAGTAATAAGTAACATCCTACGTTGTAGGGAATAGGACTCAATCGACTTTACGTCCGATCGGGAAGGCCTAATACTTACCAAGTGATAAATATGTGCCGTTGATGATGGAACTTAATAGCTGTGTCTTTGCGTTGCTGCCTCCAAAATAAGCAAGGAAATCCGGCATAAATACTCCAAATGTCAAACATATTCCATCAACAATACCGCTGTGTACGAAGGAGGAGATTAAAACCACCCAACCCCAGCCACCGTCGGGAGCTATAGGTTCATGGATGTTTCTCTTAGTCTCCTCAATCTCCGATTTAGAGTTATTACCTTTTGAACTCTTGTTAGCTTCTGCCATTTTTATATAACAACAGTACCTTAAATAACAAAATAATATGATTGTCATGTCGATTACATTTTAGTTCGTCATGATGGTTGAACATCAGAATGATTCTAAATAAACATTTTTTTATTAAATATTTGAATAATAAGTTCAAGTTTTGCTTTTTTGCCGTTAAAGGGGCATCACGGTGAAGTAACTGTATTTTTTGTCTGTTTTTCAAATACTACATAAACATATCAAGTGAGACTCCTTATGGAAAATAACGATCGGATTTGGCTGAAATAGATTCATAAAAATGATTAAATCTAAGAAAATCATCGGCATTTCTACCTGTCTGACCAACGTTTTGTTCAGGGATTTCGCTCTACTAGCGCATGCGCATAGCACACCATTTCTTTGTAAACTAAATGACTGGCCGTGTGAAGTAAGCGAAAGAAAAGTGTTTTAACCGTGTCAGCTACGAAACGAAAAGTTGCAAAATGGTCAAAAGATAGCCCAAGGAGTACGTTACGGAATCATTATTGCAGGTGGGCAGTATTCAAAGGAGAAAATAACTGCCCTTGCAGTTAGTACGGTGCATGTATTCTTCCGGATAGCCGGTTAATCTAATTACGTGCTACACCATAGTATTGAGATTAATGAATGGTATAAAGTATATTAACCCTGAATTCGATCGGGAACTTCATAAGTTGGAAACTTGATCATGTGATTCATTGATTTGCAATTGTTGTTTTTCAATCTTTTTTGCAAAACACCCCGCGCTTGATCGTTGGTAAAAATCTTTTCTGACAAATATGTCTCTATACGTGTTCTATACGACTCCTCAATCTTTTGCGAGATAGTAATTGATTTTGTATTAAAAATCAATTCAGTAAACTTTTCTTGTGTTATCTTGTCTGGACTATCCATAAACTGGCCTTTTTAGGGGCACCATCTGGTTTAAATATAAAGTGATATAGACGTCTAATTGTTAACGTAATTGAGCATGTCAGTGGAACAATGTTTATACATCAATATGATCCGGGCTGTAGACATATGTGACACGCCGAGAGCTTCATACGTGTACTCATACAACTTAAATACCTCAAGATAACTCGGTAATTTAGCCCCCTGAAATCCATCGTTTCTGATTGTACAATGTTGTTTTTCACGTCCAATCAATGTGTTGAGAATGCATTTTGTTTATAAAACTGTTTTACTTCACAATATAGCAGTACATTTTTATATATTGTGTTGCATAGATGATCACCAAATCTTGTATGTACCAGGTATATATAAATTGGTTTTTAATGCATATACTTTCTGTTGATATGTATATTAAATGTTCATTTTAGGGGAACTAAATGTGAAACCTGCACTTGGCGGGAAGGAGACTGATGTGAGACTAGTCATGAGAGGGAAAGTCTTTCCTGAAGGTGTTCTAGAAAGTGGTGATAAAGGCGAGGGACCTCCTCTGCCTACACTAGATGTAATTAAGCTCATATTGGTGATCTATCCAAACAAAGGAATGATGACATACTGTGTTTGAAATCTACTAATAGTGGATTTCAGTGACTATTCAGTCCATTTGTACTGGCCTAAGGACGGTCTTTCTGTGGCTGTACAAGTTTTCTAGGGGTTTCATCATGTCAAAGTGTTTACTGGATGTAGGAAGTGTGGCCAAAATGTGTAGTGATGTGATATGAGTATTGAAATTTTCCTTGGCCAATAAAATGATGGGAAAATTAACAAAACATAACTTGTTATTTATTATCTACAAAACCCCCCAGTATTGAATATAGAGATAATATAGTCTGTGCCTTAACTAAAATGCCTGTTTTGTTTTCTGAAAATGATGTTTAACAAATATTTGAGAAAAATAATCACTAAATAAAAACAGCGAGAATTTGAAGTCTTTCATTCAAATGAAAAATGGTACTGTTGGAACAAGTGACCTTATCAACCTCAAATATTTACATGGGGAAAGTCTGAGGCTAAGTATACCAGCATTTTCAACTAAAATAGCTGAAATATGTTGTTTCATATTGTTGTAAAATAAATAAAGTGTATCTTTAATTCCTGTACGAGTTTTGACCAATTTATCGCAAGAATATATACGCTAAAGTGTAATTAATCCGTAACACAGAAGGCCATGATTTTCTTGATTTTTTTCTTCGTTGCATTTTTAGATATAATCTCTTCAATACATGAAAAACTCGTTGAGCTTGGCATGACTCACATTCAAAGTGGCGACGTTAAAGACAGTGACCACGCTTGCAACGTCAAAACTTTATTTCATGTAAGGTCATTCCAAAACTCGCACAAATTAATTTCATGTATGTCATGGTCATTACAAAGTGGTATAGATTTGTGAATACTGATTCAAGTTTTTGCTGTAAGCATATTTTTGTCACAGCTATAACCGGAAGAAAACTGTAGAGATGTTAGTCTACAAAGTTCAAAAGTACAGAAGTATTATTTGTACCATGGTCATATATAACCCTATTTGTTTTACATTTCAGTATTTGTGTATGACTTAGTAACATATTTAATTATTTCCATTTAAATGCTCTGGCATTTCCCTTCACAATCATGCTTAAACTTCTGGAGTATGATCTTTAAAGTGGCGTCAAATCATCAAATATTGACAGACTAACATATTTTTTATATCATTTTGATCAGAAATGTCTCTAGATTTCGAAATCATAAAAATCACAAAATTGATTTCTTACTACTTAAGAACCCTAATCCCAGCCGGCGGCTCATATGTAGTGACCGCGTGATAAGGGCGAAACTAATACAGTATATACTAAGTGTTCCTTATTGTTTTATAATAATAGTTTCATTTGTATATGAAAACTTTATTTATTACATACTTACTAATAAATACGGGTTTTTTGTATATGCGATACGACACAATTGCTCTAACCCATATCAGCCCTCGCCGTATCACACCCCAAAACCCGTATCAGCCCGCAAAACCCATATCACACCCCTTTTGGGGAAAAAAATCGTTTTTCAATATTTCAAAAATTTAAATAAATCATAAGATAGTAGTTTTTATTAGTAAGTATGTAATAAACAGAATAAAACACGCCTTTTTCCATATCACACCCAGTATCAACCCTCGACCAATATCAGCCCTCGGGCCTTCGGCCCTTGGGCTGATATTGCAGTCTCGGGTTGATACTGGGTGTGATATGGAAAAAGGCATGTATTATTTTCTATATATACAATATATATATCAATATATATGCTTGTCTAACGTGAGTATTATGTATTAGTTTGACTCAAAGACGTTTGAGAAAAGGAGAGAAACAAGTACTTACCTTGAGACTTTGTAAGAATATTCTGTTTATAAATCTACCCGATCAAAACCACATGAATCAAGTCTCCGTAGATTTGAATGGTCAATGTAGTGTCTAAGCGATTAACGTATGCATGGAATACACGGAATTAAGGATGGGTGTGCCATTGAAATCCATAATTGTTGCATGCTTTGTAACACAAAACATTTAGACACTAGAAAATAAATAAAAAATGAAATTGTGCAAACATTTCATTCATAAAACACAATGAAATAAAAAAAAAAAAAAAATACCTCGCATATCCATTTCCTTGCACACTCAAAATTCAATGACAACACTCAACAAATTTCAAGTATTATATTTAATTAGACACTTTAACTAACATTTTATACCAATCCCATCAACGAAACAACATGTAATCACGTTATGAGACACTAATATAATAACCAAAAACGGGGACATATTTATACAACTACACTCATACATAGCAAAGTCGTAGTATTGTAAGATGTTCAGTACAATAAAATCACTGAAGAATAATAACTAACTCTGTTAAATGGTGGTAAATGGCAATGGCCAAATTTTTAACAAAGCATTGTTTAACAATTAACTTAAATTCATTTTGCAATAATCGGCTGAATTATTTCTTTTCTGTTAAGACTGCAATACATGGTTTGATGACGATCGGTATGTGTGGTAACATTGCATTAAACATTTAGGAAATTATTTCAAGGCCGCAAGTAAATGAACGAAATATACATCTTATCTGTCATTAAGCAAGACTAAGTACAATTAACTTAGGCATTTTATTTGTAAGTGGTAAAAGGAATTGACTTGTGAATGCAAGGTTGCGTCATTTTCAATAAAACCAATCAAAATAGTATATTATCAATAGGAAGGTGATGGATACTGTTTTGGGTTCACATCGTGGCCTTTGTCAGATGTAAATTATTTATTTCTAATACACTGTAACGAAGCAATCATGAGTAATGTATGTCCTTAATCATAAATGACACATAATTTGCCGATTGAAAAGAAACAATGGGACATCCCTTTAAGAGACAAATTATTATTACTTGTTGGCTTATATAGATACAAGTAGGCCTATGAAGTGGAACACTCATCCTTAAAGTTCACATTTTTTTTCAATAGAATGAGTTGACTCGGACTACATTATTAAGATATCGCATGTCATGCACTGTTTGTAAAGTACAAAACATCGCCTTTATTGCTGGTGACATCTGGTTTTCCTATCATTTGGTACGAAGCGTGCAAAATACACTATTAACACAGAAGAATTCAATGTTCTACTAAATACTATTTATAAAGAGTCTTCATAAAAATACCCTAAAAAGTCGTTCAGTGGATTTTTATTTCCAACATGATGACAACAGGTACAATTTGAACCTCAACAACATTCATTTTGTTATTGAGTATTAAAACAACTACAACAACCCAGGTGGAGTATGAAATGGTCCGGGTGGATGTTGCGGTATCTTTGCTATAACATTCAAGTGAGGTGACACTATAAATGATACCGTTGGAAGGACGGTCCAACTACAAACAGAACACAATACATCTCTAGCACACACGTAGGCATACACACATAAGGAGATATTAGTCAAGTGGTATAGGACAAGTATTTAGCGCATGATAAGGCAGCTCCTGCGAATTCCTCAAAATTTATTGATTAATGTATATGCTTATTGTATTAAGTGTATATATTAC